TTACTTAGTAAAGCCGGAAGTCTTCAAGAAGAAGTAAACAACTTGGTTTCATTGAAAAATTTGAAAAACAGAGATCTACAAAGATTTTCGAGAAGAAGTATGGAACTGTTGCAACTATTGATAAAGGTAAGCAACCACTGGAAATAAAGGTTGAACAATCGCAACAAAGCTATCAACCTCCTCAACAACACCGCTCACAGTCATCCCAACAAAGATCTTACCAGACAGATAACAGACCAATTCAGACTATGGCAGAACATTTAAACAAAGTATATCCTTTTAAAGATGAGGCAGTTGGCAAAATGTTTCATCATTTGATTAAGAAACCGGAGTTCAAACTACCTGAACCTAAGAAGCCTGATGAAGTTGATAAAAAGGATAACCCACATATTGTCCATATCATAGGATGATTGAACATAATCTAGAAAATTATTTTCCATTTAATAATTGACTGAAATACAATCTCAAGAGAGGGAACATAACGATCCCGAAAGAGTATATGAACGAACTTAGAGAAGGTTCAATCAATACAATTTTGGTTGAGCCTACTGTTCTGATCGATCCTTATGCAGTTGATGATGGATGGAACACAATTTGGAAGAAATCTTCAAAGAAGATAGTAAATCAAATCCCGAGTGCTTCGGTATAAGCCGCAATTCAAAATCCGTAACCTACCAAACCAGCATTATCAATTACAGTAGAAGAAGATTCAAAGAAGAAAATTGAAGAATTCACCGAAAATCCAAAGCTTAAAATGAAATTTGATTGACCGAGATTAGTTTTCATGGATTTGAGAGAGGAATCTCTCAACCCCTAACTTTGTATGATTTCTTCTTTGCTCCTCCAGGGGCACGTAATAATATGAAATTCGATTTTGGCTGCGTTTTAGCTATTTTTGCTGATGATGTGATTGATAATAATTAACCTAACCCCAATAATAATCTCAATCCACATAATGATTCTCAAATCATACAGAATTCTGATACACGTAACGGTAATTTGGGAAAGGATATTGATGATAAAGATGTTGATTCAGAAACTGATGTGCCTGTCTTTGAATTTCACGGATCGCCGATTGCAATAGAATTAGAATCTTTAGATTTAGAAGAAGCCTTGGAAGAATCTGTTACTCCAGCTCATGTGGAGGCAGTACCCGAGTCAATTCAAGACTTAGAAGAGATAACAGAGATAATTTGAGAAGCAGAAAAGTATTGCCTCCGAGAATGGGTCTAAAGGATAAGGCAAAATAAGTGGTTGTTAAAGATGATCCAACTCCATTAATTGATGAAGTACCTGTTCAAAGAGAGAATGGAGAACTAAGTAATAAAGTGGATTAAAATGTACTAGCCCATCTTAGGAAATTACCTGCTAAGTTGAGTATATATGATGACCTGATCCTATCAAAGGAAATGAGAGAGGCTTTAGTAAAAGCTTTACTTGATCCAGAAATCTATTTAGCTCAACTTGCTAGTACTTCCTTGGATGAGGTTTTTTTCATTAAGGGAACAAGCAAAAATAACATTTAAAAATGATGATTTACTGCTTGGTACTGCTGATCATAATCATCCGTTGTATATTTCTGTCAACATCAGTAACTTCATGCTCTCCAGAGTATTAGTGGATCCAGGAGCGTCCATTAATATAATGAGTTTACGAACATTGGCTTACTTGGACATATATGCAAGACAGTTGACTGTTGATAAGATGACGTTAAAGGGTTTTAACCAGAAAGGTGAAAGAGCCATTGGAACAATTACGTTACTAATGAAAATTGGAGAATTAGTAACAACTACAAAATTTCATATCATCAATTCTGAGACTTCATTCAATGCTCTCCTAGGCTGACCCTGGATTCATGAAAATAGTTTGGTTCCTTTGTCACTACATCAATGCATAAGGTATTTTCTGGAAGGACAAGAATATTGTATAAAAGGAGATCTACAACTGTTTTCAATTCATGAAGTGGGTATTCATGAAGATGTCACTTACTATACTCCTCTGAAAAAGACTGTCCCATCTCCAGACTTTGTTGCAAGTAAAGTAAAAGATCCAGAAGATATACAAACACAAGGTCATTCAGTACCAATTCAACAATCTTTTATCACTCCTTTACAACAAGAGGGTGAGAGTTTCTCTAGAACTCGTATTTGAGGTTGAGGTCGGGGACGAGGTCGTGGAAGGAACGATAGGAGTGTTAAACAAAAGAATTCAATTATCAACATTGGTTTGGAAGATAGTTTTGAAGTTGAGAAAGTCAAGAAGGATGCAATGATGATTAACCAGAAGAAACCACAGTTCCAAATCGATTTAGAAGACAAAGGAAAATGTGAGCATAGCTCAATGTATGATCGGATTAATCGCTATGTACAAACTGTGACCCTCACTCTGATTTCTACTCATTAAATTGAGAGTCAAACGGTCAAATAAGTACATAGTGCAGGTATGAAAATGATTAAGTTTCATCGTGGTTCTTCATCCTCTTGTTCTGAAATTAATGTAGAACTAGAAGATGATCTTTCTTTCAAATTAATGGAATTACCTGTTGATTGGTACTCACCTTGTGTTCAAAATATTGCTAAGCGTAGTATGGTGCCTAAGAAATGGTCAAGAGATCAATCACAATATTTTGAAAAACTTTGTAATAATAATAATCAAGCATTCAACTCTAAACAAGGTCTTGGGTTCGACATAATAGGACTTGTTGATAATACAAAGTTTTGCCTAGTTGTTACTAATGAACATGACGAAGAATTTTTAGAAGTTCTAGGCAACTATGAAAATCCTACAATTGATGATGCCCCCCCAGAATTCAAAGAAGAGATCAAATCAACAGTGGATGAGTTACAAGAAATTAAACTGGGTACCAAAAAGGAAGCAAGGCCGATTTTCATTAGCTCTCTACTTGATGAAGAAGAGTCTATGAATATGATTAAGCTGTTGACAGAATTTAAAGACTGTTTTGCTTGGAGTTACGAGGAAATTCCTTGATTAACACCAGAAGTTGTAGTACATAAGTTGGGCTTAGATCCTACTGCAATTCCAGTTAAGCAAGCTCCAAGAAGAATGCTTCTTGATATTGAACAATAAGTTATCAATGAAGTTCAAGAAATTGATAGACGCTAAATTTGTACAGGAAGAACAATACCCTACATGGCTAGCTAGTATAGTATTGGTTAAGATGAAAAATGGCAAATCCGGATTTGCGTGTACTTTAGAGAATTGAATAAAGCATGCCCGAAAGATGAGTTTCCTCTTCCAATTCCAGAATTGATGATAGATGTCGCGTCATCCCATTAAATTTTCTCATTTATGAATGGATCATTCAGATACAATCAGATAAAAATGGCTCTAGAAGATAAAAAATTCACATCTTTCCGAACGCCAATTGGAGTTTATTGCTACATAGTAATGCCTTTTGGATTGAAGAATGTTGGTGCAACATATCAACTAGCAATGAGAAGAATTTTTTATGACCTCATTCATAATCAAGTGGAATGTTATGTCGATGATTTAGTTATCAAAAGAAAACAGAAAGACAATCATTTGTATGATTTGAGAATTATTTTTGAGCGGTTACGACAATTTAACCTTAAAATGAATCCTCTAAAGTGAGCATTTGGTTTGACTTCTGAAAAATTTTTAGGGTTTGTTGTTCTCTACCGCAGGATCAAAATTGACCTAGGGAAAATTAAAGCTATCCTGGAAATGCCACCCCCTAAAAATTTAAAGCAATTACGATCCTTTCAAGGGAAGCTGGCATATCTAAGGCGCTTTATCTCTAACTTGTCAGGTAGGTGTCAGCCTTTTTCTGCATTGACTAAGAAAGATGCAAAGTTTACCTAAGACAATAAATGTCAACGTGCTTTCAAGAGTATTAAACAATACCTAACGACACCTCCTGTTTTGGCAGCGCCCATTTTGGGTAAACCTTTAATACTTTATACCACAACTTTGGACTACTCCCTCGGAGCCTTGCTAGCCCAAGTCAATGACGAGGGTAAAGAAAACGCACTTTACTATTTAAGCCGTCATTTAATACCAATGGAAGTAAAGTATCCTCCAATTGACAAGCATTATTTTGCTTTAATCTTTGCAGTTCATAAATTTTGACACTACATGCTTTCTCACAAAGTTAACCTTATTTCAAAGTTTAATTCATTGCAATATTAATGGCCCAACTGACACTTTCCGGTAGGTTAGCGAGGTGGGCCATGGTATTATTGCAATTTGATATAACTTTCATTCCGCTCCGAGCTGTGAAAGGGTAGATTTTAGCAGATTTCCTTGTAGTGCACCCGTTACCAGCTGATTCTCCTCTCAATGATGATTTATCGGATGAACAAATAATGAATTTGGAAAATCCCAAGACTCGATGTTGCGAATTATATTTTGATGGGGCTTCTTCAGCACAAAGGGATAAAGAATTGCAAACAATAATACCTGGTAAAGCAGGAATTTGACTGATCTTCATTACACCAGATCAAGGAATGTTAAGATATTCTTACCATTTAACAGAACCGTGTACAAATAATGAGGCAGAATATGAAGCAGTGATAATAGGGTTACAATTGGCAATATCGATGGGTATAACTGACATTTAACTGACAATTGGCAATATCGATGGGTATAACTGACATTAATATCTATGGAGATTCACAGTTGATTATTCAATAGGTTGTTGGACAATATAGAATTTTGATTAGAACAATATCATCGTATCATCGTTATACAATGAAGTTATTGGAACAGATTCCAAATGTGATGATGTGTAGAATCCCAAGAGGGGAGAATACTCTTGCAGATGCTTTAGCCAGACTCACCAAGGAATTTGCATGTCCACATGAAAGTTTCATTGAGATAACTGTTCATGGGCTTCAAGTTCTATCTCAAATTGATATTATCTCAAATTGATTTTCATTGAGATAACTGTTCATGGGCTTCAAGTTCTATCTCAAATTGATATTGATACCTTGGATAAATTGGGTAGAGAAGAAACGATAATGGTAACTACAGAAAATGCAGAAGATTGGCGTCAACCTTTTATAGAATATTTGCAAATAGAAAAGTTGTCGGATGATAAGTCAACGGTGCATGAGATAAGGAAAAGAGCTTTGCCGTATGCCTTAATAGATAATGTTATGTACCGAAGATCTTTCGACCAATGGTGGTTGAGATGCGTGAACGGTTTAAAAGCTCAAGAAACCGTTAAGGATGTACATTCAGGACTTTGTGGTGCTCATCAGCCAGGTCCTAAAATAAAAATGAAAATCAAAAGGCTAGGATATTACTGGCCTGCGATGATGACCGACTGTATGAGAGTTGCCAAAAGTTGTCATCAATGCCAAGTACACGAAGTGGTCTTCCATCAACCTCCAAACGTGTTGCACCCAGCAATATCGTCATGGTCGTTCGAGTGTTGGGGTACAAATTTAGTGGGTCCAATAGACCCTCCATCTTTGAAGGGACATCGGTTCATACTCGCTGCAACAGATTATTTTTCAAAATGGGCAGAAGCAATACCTCTTCGGGAAGTGAAAGCACACCATGTTTTGCAGTTGTTCAAAAATCAAGTTGTCTACCATTTTGGGGTACCATGCAGGATCATCTCAGATAATGGGTCTGCATTCAAAAATACAAAAATCAATAACTTCGTCAGAAGACACAGAATAGATTGGCATTATTCTACAATTTATTACCCGAAGGCTAACGAATTGGTCGAGGCTTTTAATAAGACTCTCATCCAAATTCTAAAGAAAACCTTGGACGAAAACAAAAGAAATTGGCACGAGCAGTTATTAGAAGCCTTATGGCCCTACAGGACTACATTCTGAACTCCAACTCAGTCTACACCTTACGCTCTTGTGTATGGGTCTGAGGCTGTGCTACCTCTAGAAGTTTAACTTCCGTCTCTCAGAGTTGCTGTCACCAATAAAATTACACTGAAGAGAATGCCAGATTACTACTAGAAGAATTAGAAAGCTTGGAAGGAAAATGACTGATAGCACAATAAAATCTGGAATTATATCAAGCTAAAATGATTCAAGCACACGACAAACTGGTTCACCCCAGGACTTTCAAAGTCAGTTACTTGGTTCTTGTGCTTAGAAAACCTATTCTTGCACATCACAAAATAAGAGATAAATTTGAACCAACATGGGAAGGACCATTTGTCATTGAAAAGGTTTACTCTAGAGGCGCTTATCAATTAATAGATTGTCAAGGACAATAGCCTATGCTTCCTGTCAATGGATGATATCTGAAAAAATACTACGCGTCATGATGTTTCAAAAGAATAAACTTTAGAAATAAAGTCTTGTTTTTAGAAGCGTCGACGTTCTGGTTGTAACTAGGTCCAAACTTGAATTTGTAATAAAAATATACTTGAATATAAAAAACTAATTTTGCAATAAATTCCGTCTATATAATTCTATATATGACACGATGCTCTTTTCTCTTCCACAGCCCAAATGTTTAAAAAAAACATTATATATATATATATATATATGTATATATATATATAAATATAAAAAATTAATGAAATCATATTGTTCTTGCTTAAGTCTGGTCTGACATATTGATTGTTTTCTTGCTTTGGTGTAGGAAAATGTCAGGAGGAAGACTGATTTAAACCTTCAAGAATGGCATGAGTTTTGCCCTTAATAAAGAGAAGTTTGAAGAAGGGGCAGTGATTGAATTTGACCTCAACTTTGACCAAATAGAGTTGGACTACGAAAGTTCAGCCTTAACCGTAGTCAATAGAGAAGAATTTTGAGAGCAAAAGGTCGTTTTAAAATTTAGAAATAAGAATCAATTCACCGCTGGGAAGAAGAGCAAGTTAGAAAAGATTGATGAAGCAGAATCTAGTAATGCTGTGATTAATAGGGTGAAGTCGATGGTAATGACTTCAAAAGGCGAGCTTGTTGGTGCTACCCCTACCGACGTTTAGTCGGAAGGTAAAGCAAGTCTCACTCGCAAGCAGAAAGGAAACCAAAATCACCGCATCCATAAGATGTTGGAACAGTTAAAAGAAAAAGTGGAAAATGAAAACATTATTGCACAAATGAGAATTAAATTAAAAGAGAAAACTGCTCATCGGTCAGTTTAAGTGCCATCTCAACCAGTGAAGGCTGAAGAAATGGTGATTTCTAAGAAAGCAAAGACTGAAGAAAGATCTATGGAGGTTGAGCAATACATTCCTCAATTTGTAAATAGAACACGTTCTTTACAAATTATTTCGAATTATTCCAGAACATGAGCTGAAAAAATATGAGAAAGTAAGAAAGCAGAACTTCGAGCATTTTCAGAGGCTTCAAGGAAAGTATGTTAATATACTTGAAGGATTGGAATTGCACACCAATGTATTCATATTGACAGTGAGCAGTAGTAAGAAGTTGTGGAGCGTGTCTTTTTGGAAAGAGACATGGGTTGTGCTGGTCAGTTAAGAAGAAGAACATATTACGAGCCCAAGAAGTGGAAATGTGGTAAAGGAAGGGTTACAATACAATATGGTTGCAGTTACAATTTTGCTCAGGACAAGGAAGGAAATCCACCTGGAATGATTTGCCACGACAAAGTTGACCCCTTACCATCATTCATAAAGAGGATGATTAAACGATTGGTGACTTGGCATACCTTACCGGCAGATTGTATTCCCAATAGCTGCATAGTTAATATCTACGTGGCTGGTGACTGTATTCCTCCGCATGACGATCATCATGATTTTGCGAGACAATTTTGTACAGTCTCATTCATCAACAAATGCAACATTATGTTCGGTACGGAAATTTAAATTGTCGGTGATGGAAAATTTCGAGGTTCTGTGGAGATCCCTTTACCTGTGGTATCAGTTTTGGTTTTGAAAGGGAATGGTGCTGATGTAGCTAAACACTACATCCTTGGAGTACTATATCCAAGAGTTTCTATAACCTTCAGGAGAATGAATGAAGACAATATGTCATTCCGTTTTAGGCCTGATCCTGAGATAGAGAGCTTACAGCCTTATGAGCTATGAGTTATTTAAAGACAGCACACCTCAATATATATCTAGGAAAAATTGCTTCTATTTCTTCGATGATATGCTAGAAGGTGAGGCTAGTCTTTATATAGCTTACCATTTTGACATGGATATTGGCAGTAGATCATCAGTTCAATGATATGCAGGTTGAATTTAGTCATATGTATCTAGTATTGAAGTATGGAAGAACATTCAGATCTATGGATCATTTTTATATGGTTCCAAAAGATGTTTTGATCATGCCCTCTTAAATGGAGCCAGAAAGTATTATATTCAATACCAGATTACGTTCCTGATATGATAGTTCAAAGAGAATATATAGGTTTCTTGTGATTAGAGAAATCTAGGAAAAATATTTTGATGCTTTGAATCATTTTGTGAATTTTTATACTTAGTTAAATGCAAATACCTTGTATTAATTTGTTTAAATTAAATATATATATATATATAATTAACAATAAATAACGAAACACTCTTCAAAATCATGAAAATTCCAAAAAAAGAATTTTTTTTTCTTCTCTTTTCACAACAAGTTGATTGCTCCTACACTTCTGTGAATTTTGTCTTTTATTTCACCATATTGTAAACTTTACAAATTTCACAATTTTCATTAGCCTTCGGATTCTGTACGTTTCGTACATCATTTATACACCATTCTCATACGATTACACATGATTCTTCACGTCTTTATAAATTCATACGGCTATCACATCCTTACATAATCTTACACGTCATTTCTCATTTCTGAAACAAATTCTTACATTAAAAATATTTCTGAGGTTGATACTCACATTCTAATTCCCATTCTTGGGCGGGTACCCACATTCTGAGTCTTTTCTTAGAAATTTGGCATAATCTCCTTAATGGTTGCTATTTTTCAACTAGATTTAGTTTGAACATAATATCACTATCGGTAGCCCGAACTGGTATAGTCCTTTCTTGGAAATTTGGCGTAATCTCCTTAATGGTTGTCATTCTTCGACTAGATCTAGTTCGGACATAATATCCCTATCGGTAGCCCAAACTGGTATAGTATCTTCTTGGAGATTTGGCGTAATCTCCTTAATGGTTGTCATTCTTCGACTAGATCTAGTTCAAACGTAATATCCCTAGCGATAGCCCGAACTGATATAGTTTTTTCTTGTAAATTTGACGTAATCTTCTTAATTGTTGTCATTCTTCAACTAAATCTAGTTCCGACATAATATCCCTATCGGTAGCCCGAACTGGTATAGTCTCTTCTTGGAGATTCGACATAATCTCCTTAATGGTTGTCATTCTTCGACTAGATCTAATTGAGACGTAATATCTCTAGCGGTAGCCCGAACTGGTATAGTCTTTTCTTGGAAATTTGGCGTAATCTCCTTATTGGTTGCCATTCTTTGACTAGATCTAGTTCGGACGTAATATTCCTAGCGGTAGCCCTAACTGTTATAGTCTTTTCTTGGAAATTTGGCGTAATCTTCTTAATGGTTGCAATTCTTTGACTAGATCTAATTCAGACATAATATCTCTAGCGGTAGCCCAAACTGGTATAGTCTTTCTCTTTCGCGTAATCTCCTTAATGGTTGCCTTTATTCGACTAGATCTAGTTTGGACATAATATCCCTATTGGTAGCCCGAACTGGTAGTCTTTTGTAAGAGATTTCGCGTAATCTCTTTAATGGTTGTCATTCTTCGACTAGATCTAGTTCGAGTGTAATATCCCTAACAGTAGCCCAAACTGGTATAGTATTTTCTTGGAAATTTGGCGTAATATCCTTAATGGTTGTCATTCTTTGACTAGATCTAGTTTGGACATAATGTCCTTAGAGGTAGCCCGAATTGGCATAATCTTCCTCTTTGGTGTAATCTCCTTAATGGTTATCTTTCTTCGACTAGATCTAGTTCGGACGTAATATCCATATTGGTAGCCCGAACTGGTATAGTATCTTCTTGAAGATTTGGTGTAATCTCCTTAATGGTTGCCATTCTTCGACTAGATCTAGTTCGGACGTAATATCCCTATCGGTAGCCCAAACTGGTAGTCTTTTCTTGGAGATTTGGCGTAGTCTCCTTATGGTTGTCATTCTTTGACTAGATCTATTTCGGACGTAATATACATAGCGGTAGCCCGAACTGGTATAGTCTCTTCTTGGAAATTTGGCGTAATCTCCTTAATGGCTATCATTATTTGATTAGTCTCAGTTCAAATATAACTTTCCTAGCGATATTGTGAGTTGGTCTGGTCTCTTCCTGTTTCGCCTAAGTCTGAGGAGAAGTCCACTTTGACTGTATAATGAATCCTGAGACAACAGATGACATTTCTTCGACTAGTCTCAGTTCGGATATAACTTCCCCAGCGGTATTCCGAGTTGGCCCGGTCTCTTCCTGTTTCACTTAGGTTTGAGGAGAAGTCCACTTCAACTCTGTAATAAATCCTAAGACCACAGACGACATTTGTTCGACTAGATTCAACTCGGATGTGACTTCCCCAGCGGTATTCCGAGTTGATATAGTCTTTCTGCTTCACTTATTTCTCTGCATCCTTTGGAATAAGATTTAATCTTGATTTTTCCTCCACACATTCTTTGATACTATTGTTAAATGTTGAATTTTTCCTTTGCACATATTTCAAATGTCATTTGAAAATTCAAATCCACGACAGCAATTTCAAAATATAAATACCAATCCCCAGCAAAAATCCTGCTTCACCTTAATTTAATTTCGACATTTTATTTATCCCAAGTATGGTTACTTGGACATTCTTTCGAGATGTTGTTGATCGTTTCGGTCAACGCCAATAGGTGTGTCATGCTCGTGTAGCACATCACACCTATTGGGGGTCCATTTGTTGACCCCATTTTGAAGTCTTTTTTCCCTTCCCTAAATACCCTAGGATCTAGCCTCAGTATTTCTCTATTTTGACTCTTCCAAAGGACTAGATTGGGATTTACACCGCTTAGAGATTCAGGCTATTTCTTCACTTTTTGAAGTTTCAAATGGGTGGTTTCAGATCCTCAACATTCGATTGAGTCAATTGAAAAGCCGACATATCGAAGCTCAAATTGAACTCCTATAGAAATTTGAAAGACATAGGTGGACACCATGACTTGTGGGACGTTTGACTTGCCACCACGAGTGATGTGCTTGACTTTGGTTGTCACTTGTACAAGGACCGGTCAAAATTTTTATTTTTATTCCTTAAACGGCTCCGATCGTACCAAAATAATTTTGTTTGTTGCAAAGCGCACAAAATGAGGTTAATTTAATGCAATCATCGACAAATTTATTCAAGTGATCCCGGATAATGAAACGGACTGCGTCGTTGCATCCGGGATGTCGATTTTAGCTAAGGAGGACAACTATTTTGTTAGGGCGCCGCGCACGAATGAGTTGTACAAAATTTGATATATTTTTTTAAAAAATAATAATAATTTCTTTTTTTTTTTATAAAAGGGTTTTAAAAAATCCCTAATCTTACTCCCCCTCACACGCATGCCTCCCCTTTCTCCTTTTAGTACCGATCTGTGCCCTAGCTCCTTTGCTCTTCTCAGACAAGTAGTAGAGCCTTTCTCTGGTTTCTCCAATTACCTTCTTCCTCTCCAGTTATGACCAACCTTCGCTGCTGGTCACTTTCTTGTAACCGCTTTTCCCGCACAACGAATTTGGTAACGAATTTGGTAGCCCTCTCATAGCCCTCTCATTCTTGGGTTTGTGCATTTCCCTTGCCGTGAGCCCCTTACCCTCTCGATGGCTATAAATACCCCGTGGTGGGAGGGCGGGTGGCATTGTTTTTTTAACTCCGAGGAAGGATCGTGAGTTATTCTGTTTCATGATTTGGGCATTCTTATTTCTGAGTTTTTCTTTTACAATCCCCTGGAAGTAAGAATCTTTCCTTCTCTTCGCTTTATTCTTAATTGAAGGATGAGATATATGCTGCAATATGATCCTTCTTATTCATAGAGTTTCCTCTCATTAATTTTGCCTCACTACGTATATGTTACGAAATTTGTTATGCTTAAATTTTGATCTATCAAGAAATGAGGTCTTCTCTTTTGGCTTACATTGTTCTTGAATATTAAATATTAAGCATAGCTTTGTTTTCAAAAAAAGCTTGATCCATGGATACAAAATGCTTATTGGAAAAGATTGGCTTGTTCTTGAAATGCTATTATCCATTTATTTCACCTATAAATAGCATGAAAATAATTTTAGGACAGGGAAAGATTTATTGTTATGAGAAGAAGTAGTTTATAGTTCAGTTTGATCACTCCCATTACTGTTGCTCCTATTTGAACATATGTTGGAAATCATTATTATAGCTTTGAACACTTATTCTGGGGCTCAGTTTTTGTTCTTCTTGCTGCCCCTTGTTAGAACACATGTTGGAGATCATTTTTTTATACCTGTTTGGGGCTCGGTTTTGTTCTTCTTGCTGCCCCCTAGTTCGAACACATATTAGAGATCATTTTTTATAGCTTTGAATAGTTGTTTGAGGCTCAGTTTTGTTCTTCTTGCTGCCCCTTGTTTGAACACTTGTTGGAGATCATTTTTATACCTGTTTGGGGCTCGATTTTGTTCTTCTTGTTGCCCCTTGTTCTAACACATATTGGAGATCATTTTTTATAGCTTTGACTACTCGTTTTGGGAGCTGGTTTCTATGTTTCTTGCTGCCCCTTATTCAAACATATATGGGAAATTATATTTTGGTTTTGAATATCTTTTTTGGTATTAGGTTTATGCTCTTCTTACTGTCCTTTATTTGAGCATGTATGGGAGACTATATCTTGAGTTTTGAACACCTGTTTTGAGGGCCTGTTTCTATGTTTCTTGCTGCTCTTATTTGAATATATATTGGAGATCCTTTCTTTGGGTTTGGAATTTAATTTCAGTTTTTGCTCCTCTTGCAGTTTTTGCTCCTCTTGCTGCTCTTATTCAAATATATATTGGAGATCCTTTTTTTTTGGTTTGGGATTTAATTTGGAGCTGCAGTTTTTGCTCGTCTTGCTGCTCTT